TAGACATTATAATTGCATTGGAAATAAAAGTATCTGGACACAATACTGTTAGGGGTCAAAGATTTTATTTTACTATATCTCATCAAGAGTATGTCTACACTGAGCCACAGTACAGACTGAGTGTGTGTGTTGCAGACCACACCAAAGAGCTGCACTCTTATCTGCCTCATGTGGATGCCTCAGGCATGAACTAACAGGTACATAGTTTGTGTTAACTTAGTCCTCTTTCAAACCTTTTCATTCATGCCAGCAGTTCACACACCCTGTAGTCTGCACTGCAGTACAGTGTTGACAAGCCCCAAAACTAAAACACAAACAAAGACCCTGATCTTACAAACACTTACATAGTAGCTTAAGCATGTGCTTTAAGTGCTTGCAGGATCAGGACCAAAGGTAGGGGGGTGGAGGAACAGAAAAAAATAAAATCTAATAAGCCAAATTAATTCTTGGTATCAAGCAGGTGCAATTCCATTGATACCACAGGTATCTGCTTAGCACCAGTCATGAATTTGGCCCTGAGAATATATTTAATACAGTGCTTTGATTCTGCCACAGGAAAAGCAGCTCCCCATCAAGATACTTTATGCAGCTCTACAGGTTTTTAATTCAGCTTGATCGCTGTTTGTGTTATTCTCTGTTTAACTATATTAAGTCGGCATTACTGGATTCCCAGATTTTCCCCTGAAGAAGTATTTCTTGCATTGATGGGGAAGTTTGTATTGGTCAAGTGCTCTCAGGTCTACTTACTGAGAAACAGCGACTGAATTAATTTATATACCTACTATTTATAAGGGTGCTAATAAGCTTGTCTCTCTTTCAGTGGAATTGTGGCTATGCTGTTTCTTAAAGTTGTAGTGAGTGCCCAGTGTGCCTTTAATTCTGCCCAGAGCATACTGCAGCTTCCCATACATCTTCATTTGTTGAAAGAGCTCTTAATTGTGTGCTTTACTAGTCAATCTATTAAACCATTTAAAAAAAAAAAAACGCACACAAACTTCAAAATTGCTGCAAAGGCAACTAGCAGCATCACTGGTCCTGGAAGCTGGTTTAACTACAACAAAGTGCAACATAGCCACGTCCTTCTCAGCTGAATGTGTCGTTCATAACCATGGGTCAGATTCTGTGGTTTGGTCAGTCAACAGGAGTTTTCTGCACTTAATGCCTGGAGGATTTGGTCCTGTATTTTTAAAGACCCAGTGCAAATATGAGTGTTCATGAAAGCAGCTGGACTGATAGCACTAAACAAAGATGACAACCCTTGATTTAGACCCAAAAAACAGGTGCACCAGAGGCAACAGCACTGCGCGCTGCCCCCCAGCATTCCCACTGTTTTCTGATCCTGTGTTGAAGGGTACAACCACAAAGGGAATGAAATGACACCCTCACTACCAACAAGAGGCGTCGGAAAGGGACTGAATCAGAGACCTTCAGAACCAACCCACAAGCCTCTATCACTTGAGCTAAAAAGAGCCAATATATACTAGACCCTCATCTTTTATGGGAACAATCCATTAGAAGGGCACATGGCACATTTGAGCTGGGATTTTCAGAAGCGCCTAGGGGATTTGTGCATCCAGGTCCCAGTAAAAGTCACCTTACTCCCTTAGGCTCCTCTGAAAATCATAATTTAGGGAATAACCTTGCATCCATCAATGTCAGTGGAAAGAGAGCCATTGACTTCAATAGGTACTGGATCATAAGAACAGCAATACTGGGTCAACCCAATGAGCCATCTAGCCCAGTTTCCTGTTTTCCAACAGTGCTGAATGCTTCCGAGGGAATGAACAGAACAGGCCGTCATTCAGCGATCCATAATCAGGCCATTAGCCAGTGGGTTTCAACCATAAGGGTAGTTTGTACACATTGTCAGCCAAGAGGATATGATTAGACAAGATGCCAGTCACAGTTCTAGTTTGTGTCATACAGATATTAGCCTGAGATCAGCTATTCATTTCTCACAAACCACAGTACGGCTCTCAAATGGTAAAGGCTACACACCAGGGCTGGAGTTAACAGAGAAAATCTGGAGGCGAGCTATGAACTATCCAGCCCCCTCAGGGCATGTCTTTAATGAAGACACATGGGCTTTAAAAATGCAACCTTATTTTGGCAAACACTGATGAGTTCTCCAAATAGTCTCTGAAAAGGTAATAAATCAATGCAGCTGTTTAAAAGGGTTTAAGTGGTAACAATGGGCCTGATTCCACAGTTTAGTAGCACCTTACTCCAAAAGTAGTTCCACTGACTTCAGTGGGACTACTTGTTCACTCTGAGTAAAGGTATCAGAATCCAGCCCTCTATTTTTACAGCTGAAATGATTCCGTTAAAAAATTTTGCCAGCTTTTTTGGGGTAAAGCTTTGAATGTAAATGGTTGCATTAACATTTAAATGCTTTTTTACTGCAGCTATTTCAGAAAATAATATAGTTCCCCATCAAATAGATCTTGCATGCTCTTCGCCTTCATTATTTGTGTTTTGCAATTGCCAATCACAGAGTGGAGTTCTAAAATTCCCGAACACGATTCATTCTCCAACAGAAGCCCTGCATAATTCGCTGCAGTAAACACACAACAATAGGATCTATATGCATTTGTCAGGTAATTTCACAGCAGAGAAATATCAATAGGTAGCTAATCAATAGAACTGAACCTTGCAGTATAATGTGGTGGAGTTCAAGAGGAGAAGAGGCATTGAGATGTGTGGCCTAGTTTAATCAGATGAATTTAGCAGGGGGCCAACCTAGTGAAACACCTAACTGGCAGCATGCATTACAGCTGTTGCTCTAGTTTTTTTTTACATTATTGATATAACAAAATACGAAATCTCATTCTGGCGTGAGCTGCCTTGTGTGGACATACCGTAAGGTCTGATTTTCAGAGGTGCTTATTGCCCACAGCTCCTATTGACTTCAGCCGAAGTTACAGTTGCTCAGCACCTCTGAAAATAGACCCATAGTGTGCAAAGTCATACACCCCAGTACAGTGAACATTGACTTGAAGCAGGCTACCGTGTTGTGAAAAGCCATTAAAATATAACTAGATGTTATAAGTAGGCCTGCTCTCAAACTATGGTCCAAGTAGACCAGTAATCCTCTAAGCCCTACCTAGTATTCTCCAGAAGAAAGCAAGGTGAGCACCAAGCAATGTGAGACAAGAGGGCTAAGAAGGAGAGGTAACCATGATGGTTTGCTGTCTTACAAAGTAGTCCACAAAACAAAACAAAAAAGATAGGACACCACTGAAATAAGGGAGGGAAGGTCTCATGGTTAAGATGCTGGACTGGGGTTCAACTCCTGGCTTTGTACCACAGCCTTTCTGCGTGGCCTTGGGTAGGGCACTTATGCTCTCTGGGTCTTTGTTCCCCATCTGTAAAATGGAGAGAATAATAACCCACCGTTTATCTGTCTTCCCTCCTTAGATTGAAAGCTCTTAGGGGCAGGGACCATCCCTTGTTTTTTTTTTTTGTTTGTTTGTTTGTGCCTAAAACAATGGTGCCATGATCTTAGTGGGAACCTCTGGAAACTATCAAAACAATAAGACACAAAATCTAACATCATAATATTGAAGTAAATATATTAAAACTTTGCAGTCAGTGAAGAAAGTCCAGGAATAGTGGCAAATAGTCCAGAGTAACCTGCCTTTATGTGGTCATTAAAAAAAAAAGTTATCTTAGTTGTGGTGCAACATTGGATCAATTTCTCTCAATAGTCTAACAGCAGAGAGAGGAGGCACATTTACAATTCAGTAAGCATCTCCTACAAATCCCCATTGAATCCCTGACTCCAACTGAAATAAATTGCCAAGCAACATGAAGGAGCACTGTATGCCACTGTCAAGGGCAGATGTAAGACAAACTTCTTCCCTCTCTAATTATCCACTTAATAATCTTTAACAACATGCCATTTGGATTGGTTGGTCAACATGCTACTTAACCACTAGCAAAGGAAACACCCAGAATATAAAGAGAAGAGAAGAGAGTCACTAAACAAAGATAATTAATAAATTAATTCCTTCCACAAGCGATTGCTGAAAATATGTATAGCTATAGAGAAATATCCCTTTCTTTTCCTACAGATGAACACACTCCAGTCCATACTGATCTTTCAGGACAGCTATTTGTAGTAAGAAACGGGGAAAGTCTTTTTAAAACAAGCAGCCTAAAAACACAAACACTCATGGCTCAGAATACATTAAATAAATTGTCTTTGTCAGGGGGAACCAGAGAAAAACCAAATAAATACCATTTAACTAACAATAAAAATGCTTTAAACCACTTGATAACATTCAACTAATCATCTGAAAACCCCCATACTTCATTGGACAAATTTACCAAGTTACTTAAAGGCAAGACTGACACCATTACCTACACTGAATCGTATCTTATGGTGGGATATTGCCTGACGAAGGTAACTCCTGTTTAAAGTCAGTGGGAGTTCAGGGGTAACCTTTTTGAAAAAGCTGTGTATTTGGGAGCCTTGAAAATTTTAGCATGGAGGCTTAGCACCTTTATGTCCCTTTGAAAAAAAAATATCACACACTTACTACACAAATGGTTCCACTGACTTCTGCAGAACTACTTGTAGAGTACAGTGCTACTTACCTGTAGCAAAGATACCAGAGTCAGGCCCTGAGTAGCGACCTGGCCTGGGAGACAGTGACCCTAAAGCCCTTAATGTGTGTCATGGCCATGACAGATATACAACCATAGGCCTTGGTCATGCAAGCTATTGTGTGTGGATGGAGTCTTGTACCCAAGCAGAGCCCCAGGTCTGAGTATACCGTCTACCCACAGGGTGCATCTTGCAGAAATAGGGCCTGAATTATTTTAATACAGGGAAATAGTGAATAGATGTATAACAATGTTAATTGTAATACCAGTTATGCTTTGTGACATTGTAAATGCCATTTGTATCAGGAGTCTCAACAAAATCAGACAGCTTAAGTGTCAGCTTAAGTTTCCTTGTTAACCTAAATATATACATATAGCAAGCTAAATTTTACCTTGATTTTCTTCCAGCTTCCCAATTGTTTCGATCTGCTCTACCAAGTCATTGGAGTTCCACTGGCTCATTCCTATCAGGATGGCACTTTTCCCTTCCACCACCTCCTCTGCAGCAAGAAAACAGAGAAGAGGGTAAACTGCAGCCACAGGCTGGAGAATAAAGACAGGATTACCTTGTTACCAACTGTCAGAGAAATATGCAGCTCATTACGATCCCTAAAGGGAATACACAGCACATAGCATACGCAGGATTCTCTGAGAAGGCTTTCTGCTTACACGTCCACAGCAGTTTGTGTTTGCATGCCAAATTCATTGCATACTGGAAAACCACAGAGGGAAAGGGAATTTAGCAAATCTTTGCTGCTTACTTCTGCAGAATTATTAGTTGACTGAAATAAATATTCATAAGAGGTGGAAACCACTTGGCACTTTATATGTGCAAAGCCCTTTATAAATATTGATTGACTAATTCACATTGATTATCTAATTAACAGATCTGATTGGAAATATTTTCCCTCCCCCATGAAACAGTTCATTAGGAATTAGGGCTGTCAAGCTATTAAAAAAATTAATCACAATTAATCACACTGTTAAACAATAATAGAATACCATTTATTTCAATTTTTTGATGTTTTCTACATTTTCAAATATATTTATTTCAATTACAACACAGAATACAAAGTGTACAGTGCTCAATTTATATTTATTTTTGATTACAAATATTTGCACTGTAAAAAAACCAAAATAAATAGTATTTTTCAATACACCTAATACAAAAGTACTGAAGTGCAATCTCTTTACCATGAAAGTTGAACTTACAAATGTAGAATTATGTACCAAAAAAATGCATTCAAAAATAAAACAATGTAAAATTTTAGAGCCTGCTAGTCCTCTCAGTCCTACTTCAGCCAATCGCTCAGACAAACAAGTTTGGTTACAATTTGCAGGAGATAATGCTGTCCACTTCTTGTTTACAGTGTCACCTGAAAGTGAGAAAAGGCATTCACATGGCACTGTTGTAGCTGGGTCGCAAGATATTTATGTGCCAGATGCGCTAAAGATTCATATGTCCCTTCATGCTTCAACCACCATTCCAGAGGACATGCATCCATGCTGATGACGGGTTCTGCTCAATAATGACCCAAAGCAGAGCGGACCGATGCATGTTCATTTTCATCATCTGAGTCTGATGCCACCAGCAGAAGGTTGATTTTCTTTTTTGGTGGTTCGGGTTCTGTAGTTTCCGTATCTGAGTGTTGCTCTTTTAAGTCTTCTTAAAGCATGCTCCACACCACATCCCTCTCAGATTTTGGAAGGCACTTCAGATTCTTAAACCTTGGGTCAAGTGCTGTAGCTATTTTTAGAAATCTCACATTGGTACCTTCTTTGTGTTTTTGTCAAATCTGCTGTGAAAGTATTCTTAAAACGAACATGTGCTGAGTCATCATCTGAGACTGCTGTGACACGAAATATATGGCAGAATGCAGGTAAAACAGAACAGGAGACATACAATTCTCCCCCAAGGAGTAGAGTCACAAATGTAATGAACGTGGCAGGGTGGGGGGGCCCTGGGCCCTTTTAAATCACCCAGGCCCCTGAGCAATTGCTCCCCCTTCCCCTGTCGGTGAGCCAGAGACTAGGGTTTCTCAAACCTCATTGCACCGTGACCCCCTTCTGACAAGAAAAATTACTACATGACCCCAGAAGGGGTGACCAAAGCCTGAGCCCCATCGCCCCAGATGGGGTGGGGGGTCCAAAGCCCAAGGGCTTCAGCCCCAGGCAGGGGGCCTGTAACCTAGCCCTGCTGCCCAGAGTTGAAGCCCTTGGGCTACGGCCCCGGGAGATTGGGCTTGGGCTTCGGCTCTGAGTCCCAGCAACTCTAAGCCAGCCCTGGCAACCCACTTTGGGGTCCCAACCCACAGTTTGAGAACTGCTGCTGTAGACCATGATGCACTCCTTGGCAGCCTTTTTTACTCAACTTTGATGGCTTGACGAGATTTAATTGTACTCCTTTGGGCAGGCAATGTGTTTTTTATTCTAGATTTGTAAAGGGCCATGTAAAATTATGATGTCACATAAGCAATAATGGAAATAATTTATCTAGGTCCATAACGTGTGCCATAGTGTTTTATCTCATTAGACCGACCTAACACTTGGTAAAGCAACCCACATCTTTTCATGTATTTATACCTGTTCCTGTATCTTTTACTTCATACATCTGATGAAGTGTCTGATGAAGTGTCTGATGAAGTGCAGGGTCCTGCACTTAGGACGGAAGAACCCAATGCACAGCTACAGACCAGGGACCGAACGGCTAGGCAGCAGTTCTGCGGAAAAGGACCTAGGGGTGACAGTGGACGAGAAGCTGGATATGAGTCAGCAGTGTGCCCTTGTTGCCAAGAAGGCCAATGGCATTTTGGGATGTATAAGTAGGGGCATAGCGAGCAGATCGAGGGACGTGATCGTTCCCCTCTATTCGACATTGAGGAGGCCTCATCTGGAGTACTGTGTCCAGTTTTGGGCCCCACACTTCAAGAAGGATGTGGATAAATTGGAGAGAGTCCAGCGAAGGGCAACAAAAATGATTAGGGGGCTGGAATACATGAGTTATGAGGAGAGGCTGAGGGAGCTGGGATTGTTTAGCCTGCAGAAGAGAAGAATGAGGGGGGATTTGATAGCTGCTTTCAACTACCTGAAAGGGGGTTCCAAAGAGGATGGCTCTAGACTGTTCTCAATGGTATCAGATGACAGAACGAGGAGTAATGGTCTCAAGCTGCAGTGGGGGAGGTTTAGATTGGATATTAGGAAAAACTTTTTCACTAAGAGGGTGGTGAAACACTGGAATGCGTTACCTAGGGAGGTGGTAGAATCTCCTTCCTTAGAGGTTTTTAAGGTCAGGCTTGACAAAGCCCTGGCTGGGATGATTTAACTGGGAATTGGTCCTGCTTCGAGCAGCGGGTTGGACTAGATGACCTTCTGGGGTCCCTTCCAACCCTTATATTCTATGATTCTAAGTGGGTTCTAGCCCATGAAAGCTTATGCCCAAATAAATTTGTTAGTCTCTAAGTTGCCACAAGGGCTCCTCCTCTTTTTTTTTTTTTAAACAGTGTTTTGTAGTTGCTCTTCATGCTTATACAAAAGAACATAATCCCTGCTCCAAGGAGAGCACTGGCTAATGATAGGAATGGGAACAGACCATGTGAAAGAGCCTTACAGAAAGTGTCTAGTCATTATAGCTGAAATGGGTTTTCAGAAGCTCCTTGAAAAGAGGAGGAGCTGCAAGCCTAGCCAAGAACAAGGAGAGTCCTGAAGGAGTACATGTAGGTGAGCGATAGGAGGCAATCAGGATAGAGGTTTGTTCAGACCTGCAGGAGTGGGGGTGTGTGTGTGTAAAATGAATCATTCAGAGAGCCTTGAAACTAAACAGAATCTTGGACGTTATGAAATAAGAGGGGGATGCAGTGCAAGGATTTGGGGCGTGGCGAGGGGAAGGAGAAGCCAGACCTGGGTGGAGTTGTGGTACAAGACGATCATCATCCTGGCTGGAATAGAGGACAGACAAGAAAGAAGAGGGGAGATCTCAAGCTCAGTCTACACTTAAAAACTAAGGTTTGCCATAGCTATGGCAATCAGGGATGTGAAGAATTCACATCCCTGAGCACTATTACTATGCCGACCTAACCCCCCCAGTGTAGACATGGCTAGGTCAATGGAAGAATGCTTCCATGAGCTTAGCTATCACCACTTGAGGAAGTGGAGTTGCTACAGCTATGAAAAAACCCTTCCATCATTGTAGTTTATATCTATACTACAGGGTTACAGTGGCATAGCGCTGTAGCTGGGCAACTATAGCCAGTAGCCCCCATAGTGTAGACAAGCCCTAGAGTAAGAAGGTGTAAAAGTCTAGGGAGGAGAGGACTAGAGCCTGGACTAAAGTGCTGTTAGTAAGGGTTTTTGTTCTGTATCCATATTACAGCATTGGAGATTTACAAAGTGCTTCACAGACATTAGTTAATCCTCATAATAGCCCTGTGAGGTAGGCCATTGCAAGTATGATTATCCCCACTTTGCAACTGGAATGGATGAATTCTGCAGACATTTTACAGGAAGAAAAGGGGGGATTTGGCAACGGCCTGGATGAGAAGGGAGAAGAGAAGATGCCCTCAAGGTTTAAGTCCTGGGACACAGAAAGGATGTGTGTGTTGTGAACTTTTCCCTGTTCCAACTGACATTAACCTTTGAATGGCTCCCTCCTCTGACAAAGTTGTCAGTAATTAATGAGAGATCTAAGTGCTCTTCAGTTATTTTATATGAAGACTGTGGTCAGGTTCTGCTCTTGGTTCCACCACTGTAAATCTGGAATAATTCCACTGAAGTCAGCTGGATTTACACCAGTCTAACTCCGGTTATGTTCCCTGCCTGACTCTGAATTCTCTATCTAGGTTCTTTTTTTTAACCCCAATTAATGTAGCATCTTACATATACATTTATTCTTACAAAACACCCTTGTGAAGTTTAATCCCATTTTACAGATGGGAAAATGAGACACAGAGAGATTAAGTAACCTGCCAAAGGTCACACAAAGACTGTGGAAAAGCCACACACTGAAAGCAGATTTTTCAAGACCTAATTAAGTGCCTTAACTACAAGACCATTCTTCAAATTATATAATCACCAGTATACTTGAATATACAACAGGTGTACTAGTTAAACACATGTTAACACATTAAGGGCTATGCTAGAAAGTTTTGCTGCTTTAACTACACTGGCACGGGTAAAGCAGAACACAGCCCCCAGTGAGGATGCAGTTATACTGGTATATTACTACTATTTATAGTATAAAATGCTTTTACCAGTATAAACTTATTCCAGTTCAGGAAAGAAAATAAGCTATATTGGTATAATACCCTTTATTCGGGTATATCTGAATCCACACTAGGGCTTATACTGGTATGATTTTGTTATGCCACTAATGGATATTATACCCAGGTATAAACTTTTCTAGTGTAGAAAAATCATAAGTAAAATTCTCTTTCTAAAGTTTTTAACCCAGCATGAAAATTCAGGCATTTCAATGCTAAAAAAACATAGAAACTGTACTTCAGAT